AAACAGAATCTTGTTTATTTTACTCACATTTGTTATCTTCAATGATTATGACGATCTACCTCTTAAAAATGCGCTGATTCATCTGTAATTGTATGTGTTTGTTTGTGCCACACATATTATGATCCCATGTCTCACTCATGCAATTAATGTAGCTCCATTCCTAAAGCGCACACAAGCTTTTCATGATGTACAAGGTTTCGACCCTGATTCAACAATGTAAGTACAACTTGGTCATAACAAACAGAAGCAAGAGAATACAAAAGCAGCTGAGTAATCTTTCAAGGAAAAAAATCAGGGAAACATGTTAGAGTCTTTTCGGCGTGATTTATGATTCACCACAGCTTTGAAATAGAAAACACCATCAGAATTTCCTAACTCCTCTGAATTTATGGTTTGCATTAAAGAGGATAAATTCAGGTTTGTAATTTCATCTTACTTATGTTGTTACAATACCGATATTAATCCCCCCCTCCCCTCCGATCAACATCACTTTGCCAAGCATTTGTGTGGTATGGTGAAATTAGGCGTTCGTCAAAATATTCAAATAAAAGAAATTAAATAAGCATGTTTTCCGCCTATTGCACTTCTCCCCCCTCAACACCTCTTACCTCTTATATCCATTTACAAAACTTTTGTGGCTAGAATTTTACTGAAAAATGTTGATAAGAACAAAAGACGTATATTTGCATTCACCAAGGACTCTAAAGCTTTGGAAGTCCACAGAATTTGGCGAGTATTTTCTCGCAAATTTTCTGCAACCCCCACCTCCTTCAATCGCAAATGCCTAGACTCCTGCTCAAGATGGTGTGTTTTTTAATCTCCCAAAACCAGGACAAATGGACAAGCTTTATGATGGTACCTATAGCTTTATGTGCCTAAAAACTGACGAGCGTCTGATTCCACCGTGTCATGACACATTTGATTATATCTGTAAAACCAGATTGGTTCTTACATATCTTTTATAATGATACTCCGTTTTGAACATTTCTTTGTCTTTGAATCAATATGCCTTGACAACCAGTCTTGGCGGGTAAATAATATGTTCTGCCAAAAATATGGATTTCTCTTTCTAGCCAGCTCTTCCATTAAGGTACTCGGTTTCAACAAGTTCTGTCGTCGTTAAGTACTAGCTGTCAACGAGAATAGGTGGTCAAAAAGTATCCAGGTTCAATGAGCTCCGCTGTCAAAAAATACAACCTGCCATCATCGAGCTAAGAAGTTATAAAGTACTCGCTTTCAACAAGTTTAGGCATACTGTACGAGTAGTTGACTCCAGTGGCGTCGGCTTAGATTGGGGATTGCTGTGGCTAAACACTGATACCACTCAGTTTATAGAGGATGCAACATGGCTGAAAAAACTGTAAACGCGCACATAAAAAAACAACGTGAAAATAAAGTAGATTCATAAGTATTGTAATCATGTTGGTGGCAATACAACTTTTGAAACCAAGAAAATGGACTTACCTATGCGTCTTAATATTATTTATGTCTTTTGGTTTTTATGTTGAATACATTTGCCGATGCTGTTTGGGTTGAACGGTGCATTCTTCAATTCAAGATAAACCATTAATGATTAGAATATCTATTTTGCTTTCTATCTACAATAGGATGCCAAAATTCTGCAGTCTCTTGACAGCAAGCTTAGCTTCACGTAATAAAAAACTAATGCGAATGTCCGATAAAAAAGAAGCATTCAACTAGGTACATTGCTGTATTGAAGAACAAACATTAGATTCCAGTTTAAAACTATCGCAACTCACTGGTACAATAACAAGGTGCTTGTTTTATTCTGTAATTGATACCCACTCACATTTATAACTCAAGCGTATTTTGTAGGCAAAAAGTCAGTAACACTTCAAAGCTTCATTCAAGAAGGCACACACAATCTCAGCACACTGACACCATCCCAGTGACACGGCTTACGAGGGACAAAAAGGGGGGGGGGGGGGGTTGAGTGCGTGCTCAGTCTACGCTTTGGTCTGAAGTCGCGAAGGTGTGAAAATTATATCATGACAAGAGTCAAGCATGCATAGGCACGTGGAACAGTGCGGCTTCAACCCCCGAGCCTAATAGAAACGTCAGTTGCTTTGTTTCGGCCTTGAGCAATGTAAGGTCAAGACCCAAGTTTATATTTCGTCTGTAAAAACTTTAGCACGGGGCTTAAGGGACAAACTAATGAAATTCTATTCTCTCCGGGGGAAGGAGCACCTGATTGGGCGGAGTTATAGTCATGGTAAATTGTTGTGGGTATCCAGATCAACAAAATCTCATTTCGAGTTATTATGTCGCAGAAGCTTTGTTTGGGTGTTCGTGGAGTTTCACTGTTTATTAGAATACAATATTGTGTTTTGCATTTTTTAAATGTTTTGTGAAATGTTTTGATTTGATTTTATTCAGAGAGGTAAATGATTGGTGAAGAAAACAGGTGGAGCTGAAGCTGCATGACCCACCTCACAATACGCCCCTGATTAGCCCATAGCTTATAATATTTATCTGTGTGGAATGTACTATGCCTAATTGGAACGGTATGTTAGAGATGCGTCACGAATTGAACATCCCTTTTGTAGCTTTGAATACACACTGATTATCATTTTTAAGATACCGTATTGTTATTAATACATGTTTCACCAGCATCTGTGATGGTACAGCTATGGTATTTGCTTTGAGCACAATTGAAGAATGCTTTGTTCCGTATGCAAAACGATGATATTAAGCACCATTGTCGTTCAGTTGGAATGCAGCATCCCTCATAGTCAATAGGCATGGCTAACGAAGTCGGCCTGGCCTCTCAACCTATTTTGATTATGTCGACAAGAGCGTAAAATATTTCCCCGAAAAAGTCATTCATAAGTTACAAAAAATATTACAGCCGAGTACTGACCACGCTTTGTTTGTTTGTTTAACATGACAACAAGGGAGTGAATACATGATATGAGTTGTTGTTGGTGATATGAGTTGTTGTTGGTGATACAAAAATTGCAAGCTATTGGGGGTGCTTTTTGAGACTTTGTGAGGGTGGGGGGGAGGCCATTTTTGTCACAGTAAGTTGCTGTTGTTGCTGCTTCCCCTACCATTGCTGTTGATGAGAAATCTTTAGAACAAAGTGAGGGGGAGGGGGTGGGCGATTATTGAGGGGAAATAGTTCTACTATAATAAATGTAAATATGCATTACTAGCACAGTTATCTCCCATCCATGGATACTGTGTTATCAGACTGGGCTGTCTATCCAGCAGCATATGATGATCTTGTCATAATACTCTACATAACGACAGAAATATGATTATTTGACTTGGTTAATACACCATTTCGGTTAAAAAGATAACGCCAATGTTTTAGTCAAAGATCTGACTGTTTAGACAAAGTTAAATCTTTGTTTTCAAACAAAGGCGCTTTTTTTTAGCTAAATAGTCCTTGGTGTGTCCGGCTCTGCTGGTGCTTGAAAAAAGAACAATATTATTTTTGTCTTTCAAGAAGGATCAAATTCGTTTTCAGCTCCCACATTATCAGCAAAATCTTCAAGAGTAAAAAAGAATTGTGAACATTCGTATTATTTTTGTGCAACCTGAGCCTCAACTATGAGCATTATGTTATTAGAACATGTCGGCACATGAGATCAAGAAGCCGATAACCCCTTTGGGGTGAGGTTTAGAAAGACAAAGAGTAATCTGGAGCACTCAAATGGAAACTTAACTGATCTACTACACATATCCACCCACAGACTCCGCTTTTAGCAGTGACGCATTTGCCTCGCTATAGTGAATTCGAAAAGTATGCATTTTCTTTAATTTAAGAATGGTAGATCAAATTGTACTTGTACCTAAGGGTTTACACAGACACAGACGAAGGAGCTCGACAGAGATGTAGTTATGACTATAGTAGGCTCACTCGGATCTGCTAGATACATAATCTCATGCACTGCAAGGAGTTGGCAAATTTAAAGAACTTTTAGAGGAGATTTGGGTATTTATCAAGGAAGGCACAATTGTTAATTTCTGTAAGCATGGGATGATCTTACAAAAACAAATTGTACAATCGAGTTATCTTCTCCAACTTTTTTTCAGTGCAAAAAATCACACGTAATGTGTCGAATCTTTACCCATTACTACCAATACTATGTTGAAGTATTGTGCAAAAATTTGCGACGCACGTTTGAGAAGTAAGCTGGCTATTAATTTCATGCAATTTGAATGCATATCCATATTTTCAACCAACAACTTATTAAACAATCGAGATTTCAGAGTCACAAATAAAATACCCATAACCAAATTAAATGATCACAACGATACACTTCAGGAAGAATTTGTATCCACAATTAAAGAAAATGTTCGATAAACAAATCGATAAACTGACGAATATAAGTTGGGTTAATACTATAATAAACATCATAAAGTCCTAGTTTTTAGATGAATGCAATTTATTTTTCAGGGTCTCTTTCTCGTCCAGTTCTACTCACACGTCCGCATACACAATAAATATCATAATGCGATCTGGTAACCACATCAAACCCTAAACTTTGAAAAGTTAAGCAAACATCGGCTGGAGAGCGAAAGCGAAATCATGTTGCTTTCATGTTATTGCTCACATCAGCATCTATCTATAGAACAGTGGATATCTGGTCTGAATAAAGACGTGGTAACCGAGAAAACAAGACAATAACACACCACTGTCAGTATGTCACACTTACTGCTGACATCATGACACACAGGTTATTTCTGTCTCCAGTAAGGAGTATCCAATCTGCTTTCTTTTTGTACTTGTTGTCTGTTTGTTTTTTCTTTTTGTTATGTGTGTGTGTTTTTGTTTGTTTTTGTTGTTTCTGTTTCTTTTATTTATATTTTTTGTAAGTGTTTTGCGGCGCTCGCAAATGCATAAGGCCATAGGTCATATGAACGTGCGAGACACATTCGCCATTTCAGTTTGTAAGGAATTAATTTTGAATTTTGCCCGGGTGGCGGCTGGAGCCTACTATTATCGTTACAGGACCACTGAGGGATCTTTAACGTGCACAACGTGCACACGGAGCCTCCGAGATTTTTCTGCCCGAATCCAAGAAGGCTAAGTTTTTTCATGTCTAACCCTACCTTAAGCCAGGAGAATGGCTGAGAGACAGCTGTAAGAAGGAGCCAAAGAGTAGCAATAGAAAGGCAGTAGAATAAGTTATGAGCTCAGAGAAGAGGGCAAGGGATGGCGGGAGAGATAGAGACAGAGACAGAGACAGAGACAGAGACAGAGACAGAGACAGACAGAAAATGGAAACGTATGTAGACGATAGGACTTGATTAGAGAGCAGGAACGGTGAATGGAAACATTTTTAGAGAGGAAAATAATTTTCCGTCGCTGTCAGGTTTCAAACCCGGGACCTATTAAATGAGAGACGAACACCCCGTACCTTTTGACCACGAGAGCTCCCACAAGGAGTTCTACCATGACAACGTGTTAGCATGTTATTCTTTTGCCAACGCCAAATAAACCCACCAACAGAGAATAAAAAAGAGCTCAAGACGGTGCAAACAATTGAGAGACCAATACTGGTAACAACTGTTACTGTTTGAGGAAACCTGTTTGAGGAAAGCAGGTCCATGGGCCTTGCCTTGCCAAACTACTGTCAACCGTTTTCAGTTCTGATGTCTGAGTTTACGAATCCATAAATTGAACGTAGTCTTAGTTTGGTTTCATTTATGGCGTAATACTGTTTTTTATTTTTGCATTCTCCTTGTCCAATTTCTAACTTTCGAAACAGATCGGTTTTGCTTTTTTGCTCTGTTTCAAATCTTACAGTGGGTAAAGGAATATAACCAATACCTTATTCAGCAAGACAGAATAAAGCACAAACACGTAGCTGCTTAATAACACTAATTTCTTTTGAACGGGAATGTTAAAATTCGATACACCCTGCCTTTACTGAGCTCTGGATATGATTAACTAGAATGTATATCCTCGGATGTTATTAACGATGGTAACGCTGGAAATATTCCAAGGTTTAGATCTTGTTGCACATCACCTTTGATGATCTGAGTATTCAAGCAGTCCACATAACCTGCAATTTTTAGTTGGAGGACATTTAAAAGAAAATGCTTTTTTTACAATCAGTTTGTCAACAGAAATATGATAGTTTATGATGTAATAATAGAAGATAATGGATGACAGGCTTCTAATGTTGCAAAAATATTAGGGAAAGTACCCTCTTCATACTTTATTGAGAATAGTCTTGCTTTGTACATTTATCTTTTGCAACAAAGACATCAGTTTGATTTTGGATGCTTACAAATAGACAGCATAATTATGTAAACGGTATTTTGTGCTGTTCATGATCAGACATCCGATACGTCAGGTACTGGGAAAACTATATCTGTTCTTCTAAGCGGGAATATCCAGTGCTGATTGGTTTCGTCCTCACAAGATTCAAGTGTAATTTCATTGCTCCCCTGTGTGACTGTGAGACATAGGTCGGTTGGCAAGTGCAACAGGCTGTTGTCCTGAGGAATAATACGACAAAATCTCGGTTAACGACAATTGCCACAATTGTATGTAGGGTTGTTCTTTTATGTTTGTTTCACATTTCATATTTGTTTCTTGGCCTTCTGGAGATAGAGAGACGATTACATATGCCGCTCCCGTACTGAGATGTCTTCAGAAAGATCGAACAAGACAAATTAGCTTAAGCATGAAGGAGACCTGAGCACACATGATTGCTTACGTACGAATATAAGATACCTGTGGTACGCCTGAGTGACACCCTCCAACCTCTAAGCTGTGTCTCAGCTGTTGACTGATTGAACACAAAACCATCGACTGCCTCCTTGTGGCACCGGTGACATCTGTCACAGATTGTAAAACACCCAACACCTTACGCATATGCCTTACACAGAATTTCGCTCTTCAAACATCATATGTCATGACATTTTTATCAGCCTTATGAGAACGTATCAGGAAGACGAAAGAAAAAAGAGGGTAGCAATATTTTCTAAGCGAGGCGTTAACTTTTTTAAAAAAGTGTTCTCACATCTGTGAATTCCCATTGTGGCCCCTCTCCAGGACATGGATTTGGCTTCGATAATGACACTGTGCCGTCCTCTTTGCCACATACAAACAGCTTGTCAAAAGAAAGGACGCCAGCTTTATTGAGAAACCATATCTGATTTCCACTTTGTGGGTGGCACTGGTACAGCTCGGGCTTGACCGTACCTCCTTTGGAGTCCACACACATAGGGGTGGGGAAAAACTCGCTGGTTATCTGTTTGACGAAAGCAACAGAACAAGGTTAATTTATATTAAGCCGAAATCTTTAAAAATAGAAGTGGTTATTGCCTTAAAGAGTACTGTCGTTCAGAAGAAATTTCCAACTGAAATGCCTGGAACAATAAAACTCTGCTCACGAGTTTAAAGCCTTCTATTACGTTAGACACATTTCGTTTTGGTTGGAAGTGTGTTTGTTTTGGGGTTTTTCTTTTCTTTTTAGAGGGGAAAGGGTTGTTTGTTTGGGTTTGGGGGGGGACAAAGTAAAGACACATCGATGAAATTGAAGAAAAACATGAAGTATTGAATATCATGCCGTGCTGCACGCAACATGAAGAACAGAAGCAAGATCAAAAACCCTGAAAAATAGCTTTTTAAAGCAAACTTTTAATTTGGGGAGTACATGTGCTTCCATAATATGTTTGTCAAGTGACTTATGGTGTTTCATATGCCTAAAGTTGTTCAGTTTTAGTTTCATTGCGTTCTGGATGGGTGGTGGTGTGTCAATGCCTAATTTTCTTAGAACTTCTTTACTCTTTATTTTCGGTATCCATAATCAGTCCTCAAAAATGGAGCAACCAATCTCAGAGGAGCATATTGCATGCAAACGTAAACGCTAGGAAAGAAACAGTCTGTTTACTTACGTGACCTCCGCTCACTACGTCCAGCGGTAAGGCGAACTCGGGGTAGAAATTTTTGATGAACCAGCCAAAACTCTTACAAGAAAGGTCTTCTCGTAACTTTTTCCGGGCGCTAATGTCACCGAAGGGTACCTTGTTATAGAATAGAATGAAACAGAATTGTATTTATTTAGGATTAAATTCAGGACGATGTTAAAAAAACCCAAGCAGTGATTGTTTAAAAATTGGTTAAAGATACCTCAGAATGTACCTTCGGAATAATATTTTAAGCATTGCCAATAAGGTTCATTGTCTTTTTAGAAAAAAGTGTAAAATAATTAAAGCTGTGGAAAAGGGTCAAGTCTATAAGTTTTCGTTAAAGTCATCTCGCACAAACATCTTGTTGCCCTCTTGTCTGCCAATTTCGTCTTTGTTTTCTTTATCATTCTTCCACTAAACAAAAAAAACATTCTCGTCGTTAAGATCAATGCGTATTGAGAAAGCAACATAAGGCTGTATAACTATAATGTAGTAGAATTCTTACAAATGGAACAATCTCGGATTTTCGCTTTATTCAGCGAATAAAACCAAACTGGTGGGATTTTTAAAAATACAAATGTCAATAACTCGTCTGTTGATGACTTTGAGATTCCAGCCCATTAAAATGAAGTACAACAGATGTATACAGTTGTCATTCATTGGCTCCTTTTCATAGAAAGTAAATTTTGATGTGTCTCCCCTTTACTGGAACTCTCTGGTGGTTTTTTGCATGTTTTGTTTGGTCTTTTTCTTGTTTCTTTTTGTTCCTAGCTAAGCAAGGCTCAACCTGTGAACAACCCATATTGTTATGTCCAGTAGCATGTTAAAAAAGTACAACAACAGCAACAGTCAAGGACTTCTTGCATGAGGATTACCTGAACATAGTTAATAGCCTCATAGTAGTAATTTTTGTAGTCATCCATCCACACCTCTGCTACACGCATGTTGTTGACCTTGACCTCATCCCGTGTGCTGTTCCACCTGGCTGTGATGTGATGTCGGAACACGTGAGCGATGTGAGAGCAGGGCACCAGCTCCACACTCCCGCCACACTGCCACACCTGAGGACAGACATGTAGGGAGAAAATCATTCCTTAGATAGAATATCAGCTGTGTTGTAAAATGCATAGACCATTTTTACAGTGTGGATATGCACTATATAGACGCTATATCAAGAAAAAGAAATAATAATAATAATAATAATAATAATAATAATAATAATAATAATAATAATAATACACACATTGTGTTGACCTCACTAACCTTGAAAGACAGTTCCATGTTCTCCCCACCCCAGTAGGTCAGGTCTGGATCATAAGTTCCAAGTTTGTTGAAATAATCTCTACTAATTGCAAACAGCCCTCCGGGCATTGTGGGTGACCTGGTAACAGAAAGATGATTTTCTTTATAAACAAGATGGCCTGACAACACGTCATTGTATGTTTTCTGTCGCACGAGCTATTGATTACCTAACGATGCATATTTTTTTTTATTGTGTGGTAAGTATTTTCAATAAATATTAACCATACGATCTACTGAGAGATCGACACCAATAGGAGATAAGTAGGCACGCTTAATATGCAACAAAAATATTAATCTTCACGCCTAGATTTCAATGGTCTCACACAGTCAGCAATGTGCTATTCAGAGAGAAAACCAAAAATTCGCTTAATCCTGAGAGTATTTTTTAAAAGTATTTTACAAAGGGCAACATCTGGCATAGCAGTCGATCTCACAAAATTTCTCGGTCTCAAAGTGTCTTGTTTTCAAAAGGTGACTTTATAGAGGAACAGATGGCGGAAGCAGACAGTGGAAGTATTGGGGGGGGGGGGTTACTTCGGTTGAAGCTCGAAGAAAATAAGTAGTGATTGTTGTTTACTGGGGTTTTTTTTAATTCTGATGTTTTATTTCTTGTCTTTTAAGAACAGCGAAGGAGGGAAGGAGGGAAGATAGAGAGAGAGGCGGGTCTTACGATAAGTTTTATATTGCCGGATAAAATTTTTCTCTGAGGCAATGACTTCACCTGACAGGATCGGCGTCAGATTTTCTCCTATCCTTCTCCCTTTGAGGTATTGGCATCCACTGGAAAAGCAGGTTCATGATGTTGAGTCTCCCAATGTTGGTGGGCTGTGGCGTACAGGTCACAGCAAACGTCTTGTCACTGATGGTTTCTATCAAAGGGTATACCACGGCTGTCGGATCCTCCTCGATCCGTATCACTAAAGGCTCAGCCCATCCTTGAAGAAACAAATCATATATTTTATTATAATCAACACACACACACACATACACACACACACACACACACAGACACACACACACACAAACACACACACTTAAACACATACA